GCTGCAGACCGCCGTACCGGAGCTCGCAGACCTCAGCGACGTGCGCCGCGTGACGGGGTGGGCGCCGCTCGAGACGACGCTGAAGCGCGCCACAACCGCTGTCACGGCGTTGTGGTCGCGTGCGCGGAGCAGCGGCACGACGTCGCGTGTGGCGATACAGATGCACATCATCGAGCTCGTGTCGTGGCTGTTCCTCGAGGTGGTGCCAATGCCGCTGCCGCGCGGGACAAGCGTGGCCGCCGTGCCAGCGGAGGAGCAGCAGAGCGTCGCCGGCTTCTACACGGAGGAGCCGTTTCCTGCAGGTGGCAGCAATAACAATAGCAACGACAGTAGTAGTAGTAGTAATAATGGCAGAAACTCCAGCGATACGCAAGCGAGCATACAGGAGAGTATCTACTCACTCGTGCTGTCGTACACCAACGCGTGGCAGGCGGTGGAGGAGCCGACGCGTGCTTTTGACGCGGAGCGGTGCCTAGTCGCCATGGCTATGCTTATCGTGTATGATGCTGCGGCGCGCCACACGCAAAACGCAGGTCGCTGCAGCCTTCTCGCAGCGATGCTTAACTGTGACGGTGGCTACTACCTGTCCACTTCCGTCAGCAAGCAGGCGTTGCCTTTCGCGCGCGTCAGTGCCACGCTGGAGTTGGTGCGGCCGCATTTCTTGCTGACACGCTCTGCCATTCTGCGGTATATAACGCATCAGCAGCAGCACTGCGCCCACGAGCTGTTTGACCTCCGCATGCCGGAGAAGCTGGAGATACGCAAGGGCAGCGTCACCATAGAGTTTCTGCGTCGCCTTCTGGACAACTACGGCTACCGCCTGCAGGAGACCGGCGGCTTCCCCGCCGCCGGCTCGGAGATGGACAGGCTGATGCAGTGGTTCTGCAGCTCCCGCACCCCGATGGCCCGTGAGCACCCCGAGTTTGGGCGGCTTCGGGACATGGTGCTGCTTGCCAAGTTCCTTGTAACGATGGAGATGCGCGACGCGCAGCTTTTGCGCCGCCGCAAGGAGCTTGATGAGTTCGCGACATTTCGCCTGACCTTCGACGAGGACACGCCCGGGCGGCAGATGAGCGCAGGATGGCGCACGCGCCCGTCGCCGCCGGAGTGGGAGTGCGTGCTGGTGCGCGGCCGCGACAGCGATATCGCCGACATCGTGGTCAAGGGCTTCGGCGACCGTGAGCTGCTGTACGGTGATGGCCTCGCGTTGCTGTCGCCCATCGACGTCAGCGTGCTGCTCGGTACCACACGGCAGCAGCAGCAGCCCACGGAGGACGACGTGCTGCACGCCTCACAGCTGCCGACATTTGGCGGCATGATGAGCGGAGAGGAGTCGGAGTTGCTTCTGTCGTGCCTCACTGCGCCGTACGTGCGGCTGCCGCTCGTGCTCGACTTCTTCGCATCGCAGGACCGCCACACGTATCTCTTCACAACGGCGCTGCAACACGTCTTTCGCGCGGTGCTTTTCGAGCCGGCGGCGTTCGTCTCGCCGGAGCAGCTGAAGCAGGCGAACCCGACGGCGGTGCCGATGCGGCTAAACGACCACCAGCGGCAGGCGCTAGAGCTGCGGCGTCTGCGGGGAGACTTGTCGGAGACAAACCACGAGCCGTGCCTCGGCACAACGTACGGGCTGCTGCTGAACGAGCTGCGGCACAGTCCCGCGGCGGTGCTCGACCCGCTGCACCGCATCCTCGAGAGCGTGGTGGAGATTGGCCCGTCCTCTGTCTACAGTGCAAACGCGTCATATGTGCTGTTCATCGTAGGCGTGGTGTGCGACGTGCTTGCGTTCTGCCGCCTCGCGCAGGAGCGTCGGTGGGTCGCGTCGGCGGTGGACCACTTGGAGGNGCTCGCGGCGTACCAGACGGCGATGCTGCAGTTCCTCCTCACAACGGTGCAGCCGATGCTGAAGGAGTGGTGCAGCGAGGGGGAGGCGAATGACGATACGCCGACACAGTGCGTTGTGCACAGCTACTTGGCCATCATCCACCGCGCGGCGTGGAAGGAGGCAGCGCGAGGAGCGCAGGGGCTGAGCCATGGGAATGCCACTGCTGCGGATGCCACTTCGACCACAGTGACAAGCATGCAACAACAACAAGAACAACAACAGCACCTGGTGGCGCTACTCGAGTCGTGTGCCTTTGTACGTGCGCGCCACAGCTTCGGCATGGGTATGCAACGCACGCAGCTCGCTGCGAAGGAGGAAGATCGTCTCCTGTCGCCGGAAGAAAAACTGCTGCGTTTCCTCCAGGCGCAAGGCTTGGATACCACACGTGCCTCGCGAAAGGTACTGGACCAGGGCCGGGAGCTGATGCTCAGCGGTGGCCGTCGCCGTGCGGTGTTCGTACAGATTTGCGGTCGCTACTACAACGACACGGTCCGGCTGCCGAACCTCACGCGCAGCGACGCCAACAGCACAACAGAGTCAAAGCAGCTCAAGCTGCCACCGGCAGACGTGCCAGAGAACGTCATCTGTAGCTACTTGCTGGAAGACCACCAGGCCATTGTGAAGTTCCTGCGCTCGCGGACTGCGGCGGAACTTACTGCTCTGTTTCAGCACATCGTGCGGGTGGTGCTGCGCGATCACCACCATAACAACAACCACACCAGCAGTACCGCCACTGGAGACGGCAGAAGCGGCAGCGACAATACCAACAATGACATCAACAGGACACAGTCTTCGTACGCGGAGGCTGCGGGCGCGACGTGGGCGCTTTCCTCACCGGGCGTGTACCGTGGCCCCGCTGCGACCGGCCTCGTCTTCCACGTCCACACGTGCGAGCTCTTCTGGCGCAACGACGAGCTGAAGCCGGTGCCGGATAGCATGTCGCACTTCAGCGACTTCGAGGCGATCCTCGGCCGCGACGTGCTGCAGTGCGGCCTCGTGAGCCGCCACGAGCACCGCCACTGGGTCCACGTCGTCGGTACGCCGTACGACGTGATCGAGTGGACGGCGCCGGTCCCGCTCGACCAGGGCGTGCGCGCGCCGCTCGTGC